ACTCGTTGTTCCCTGAACTCCGTATTTGATTGGGTTCTCTATTAACATTGTTGTAACATTGAGTGCGCTTTTGATCTTAGTTTATCTTAGTTTCTTGATTATTTCTCAATGGTTTTGGTTTTGATCTAGTTTGACTAATCAACATTGTGACGCATAAGATATGAGAATAGGACCTATCATCATTATCATTCTTAAAACCATTCATCGTCCACTGACGACCATAGGTCTCGTTTTGTCGCAGAGATTGATTTTGACTTCTAATCTACTTCTATTCGTAGATTTTCTGCAACGTATTTATAATTATACAAATTTATATTTATACAATTTTATATTTATATATGTATATGTTTGTTTATAAATTGATACGGGCATTCGTCTTTAATTTTAATTGTCATGTAAATATTTATTCTATTAATAGCTACTATTTGTAGAAATTGAATAATAAGGTTTTGTCTTCGGTAAATACCATTACTGATGCGGGCATACTCGCAGCGCAATTTTCCATGGTCAGGTGTACGATGATAACGAATAATTTTTTTTTCTATACTTATTTATTCTGCTAATATTATAAATGAGATAAAAATTAGTAATGATAATAATAAAATTAATAATTAAATAGCTTGAACGTTTAGATGTTTGTCACTCAATCATGCCTAAATGGCTCAATGCAATTAAATTAAATAAATGAATTAGAATCATTTATTTTAGAGATAAGCGTGCCTTTGTATTATTAATATAAATGAGAATTAAAGTAAAGGTGCGTATAGAAAAAAATTTTATTGTTTACTTATAAATTCATAAATTTTATATAAAAATCTGTTCGAAATTGAAGAGTTAAATGAAACAGGGAAAATTATGTAATAAAGAAAAAAAAAATAATAAAGTTAAATAAGTCCGCATAAGTATTGGGGTTTTCGTTCATTAAAAGAGCATGACAGATCCGTTTCCTGTGCGATAGTATCTCATCGTTTGCAGAATACATCGGTCCGAAACTTCTGTGTTTCATGGTAGATCCCTTGAAAGTAGTACTAGTGCAGGTGCACCTGTTGTGTTATCATATGATAAGTTATCATAATATATTATTTGAGATGTCACGGTACTCATCTACAAAGATAATCATTATAACACTGATGTACGACCTGTCAGAAGTGCAATGCGATTGAGTATTGCCTTTTTAATATGTTTGAGTATTAGCAATCACAAATTACTAACAAAATTTCTCCTGATATTTCGATGACGTTTTAGCATAGATCAGTCTAATCTGTGGGCCCGTGTAACACTGTAATAAAATATGTAAGTTGTAAACAACTGTAATGAAGCTTTATAATATATTTTTTTATATAAAAAAATTCATTGACTATATATGACTTAATGGTAGTAGTAATAAATTTCATTATATTATATTGTTATTAAAATCGAGTCATGTGAAGTCATTGCATACACGAAATACGGGAGCAATTTGTCAAAATTATAATATTATGTATAATTAGTTCACTTATCAAGAAGTCAGTGAAGGGAAAAGAGAATTTCTTTTCCTTTTCATCCTTTGCTTTGCTCAGTAGTGTTTTTAATAACAATAATAAATTAGGGAATTAGGGTAGACGAATTTAATGTTATACCCATTTAATTTAAAATGAATGCTGTGAAAATAGCATATTAACCTATTTCGTACATTTGTTTATATGATAGGAATAAATATAAATACTATCAGTTTATTTTTTAATAAATAAATCTTTCTAAGATATAATATTATGGAATAAATCTAATTAAATATAGCAATTATATTTAATACATTTTGTGTCTAGTTATGGAGTTATATAAATTATAACAGTTATCTTCTTTAAAAATTATTACTGTTCTTTTTTCGACAGTCAGATTTTATTTAATTTTTTTTTTATAAAATTATCCGAGTTTTTAGGGAATGAGATAACAAATTTGGAAACGTCTTCCAACTGGGCTTGTGGCGCAATGGATAACGCGCCTGACTACGGATCAGGAGATTCCAGGTTCGACTCCTGGCAGGCTCGCACAGCTTATTTTATAATTTTTTACCGTTTTTCACTAGAGTATTTAAGTAATTAGTCGTATTGTTCAACATTATGACGGCATTGGGTTAATATTTGGCGAACAAATGCTTACAATTTAGCGAATTATCTACACTCTATTTTCAGTCCTGACGTCTAAACTTTAAGACATAAAATGCTCTAGTAGCATCTCGTTATGTCTTATCATACGATTCTGTACTCTATGGGTTGACTAACAGGGCATGTATTCATTTGGCAGGTAATTGTTGTTGAAGTATGTAGTATACACACAGCTGACCAAATATTGTAGTCGCGATAATTGGCCGTGATGCAATCGCGTGATCTCAATGGATTCGTGTCGATTTCTAAGCATTTTTACGAAAAAGTTAAATGAGTTGCTGGCACGATAAATCAACTGTGCTTATGGGCAAAGTAACATTAGTACGAGAAATATAAAATGTATGAAAATTGATATAAGTTTACATAATAAGATTAAGTTTATGTCAATTCCATACATTCTATATTTTCCAATAAGCCGGATTTTACTGGAATATTTTTTTTTGTAATAGATTTATTTATTTTGGAAATGAAAAATGAAAAAGAAAAAAGTGGATACTTTAATAATTTCAAATATTGAAAGTTGTAACATATCATTGTTTACAAAAATAGTATTTTTAATGAATTCTGATGAATACAAGTATATAGTAGTATTTTAGACAGAATTTTGAACTCGTGTTATTATTCGAAATTCTAAATTTAATGTAAAAAAAAAAAAATTATCCTGCTAATATAATAAAATTGTTACTGGACGATTTCAATACATGAAAGATATAAAAAAAAAACCGGAAGATTTAATAAAAGTAATAAAAGCTAAAACAACAATTTTTAGAAATTTTGTCTGTATGTTTGTTCAGGCATCATGCAAAAACTACTGTACCAAATTGAAAGCGTTTTTCACTGTTGTGTTTTTAGAAGGTCTAACTTAAAAAACGGTATGTTTTACTTTGTTAGTCCTTATAGAAGTAGTCTATTCATTGGTTTTCTTACTTCTGAAATCCACGCGTATAAAGTAGCGGGCAAGAAGCTAGTACAGCATATAAATTCAGATTTAAATTTTGTATTCATTCTATAAATAACCTTTGTGTTTAGCTTTCAATCGACTTCAAAAAGAATTTTGCTTGTATTTTTTTATGTTTGTTACATCATAACTCTGTCAGATTTGGAAAATTCTTTTTTTATCTGAAAGAATTGAATAAATATTGGTTTCACAGAAATTTCATCAAAATCGGTTCACTAATTTAGTTTTGAAATAAAATAATTGGTTTTTGATCATCATCATCATTTCAGGCATCATCCTTCCACTGCTTGACATAAGCCTCCTCCATAGACTGCCATAAAGAACGGTCCTGAGTCACTTGCAATTATTTGATACTGTTAGATAAAATCTACTATTACATAGTTTCCTTTGGTACTAATACAGTTCACCAGCATTGAAGTTATATATATGTATATATATATATATATATATATATATATATATATATATATATATATATATATATCATATTGATATATACTGTCGTCAGTGGTCTCGGCATAGACTGGGCCACCCCTTCTTTATGTAATATAATGTGTAACGTAATGTCGTAAGAGGCAACTAAGGGAACTTAATTGTCAAGAAATGGGCAACAGCGCTCCTTTTAAAACATCATTAAAGCCTAACTGCCAAATCGACTGCCAAGCGTAACAACGCCCCCTTTATGGGGGAGGCGTATGTTGCCTATGTTCAGCAGTGAACAGTTAATGGCTGATATGATGATATATATATATATATATATATATATATATATATATATATATATATCAAATTGATATATATTAGTTATGCGTCAGTTTGGTCTCGTTAAATATTAATGGCGTTAATTACTTCCTTTTCATATTGCTAAAACATTCTGTTTATTTATTTTGTTTAGATTCTGTTTCGGCTTGTACAGACTCCAAATTTCTGTTGTACACATCTGATTTTATATTTTGCTTTCAAATCCTATCAAAGACAATACAAGAATTTAATTTAAATCTAAAATTTCTGTGATATTTGCAACGGTACTATTTATATGTATTAGATACCTTTTAAATATGTTACCTTGTCCAGTATTAATGTTGTGCTCATGTTGAAACTGTAACTTCTACTATTTTCTATTTTTAATTAGATATTGTTTTTTGTATCTACTAATTCATAATTTCTATCAGACATTCAAAGGTTGACTAAACAGAACAAACTCATTCTTTTTTTTTCTATTTTAAGTTATACAATAAAGTGGTACCAAATAAACTTAAAAAGTTGATGTGTAACCTAAGTTAAAATATTAATCACTTAATGTGCTGTGGCTTTTTTGGTATATCTGCAAAAATTTGTTACATTAGTTTTAAAAAGTAATTTCTAATTTACCTTTAAGTTTAAAATTCATTCAATAACCATAAATTAATAGCATATAGAAAAAGGATTACAGGTCTTTATTGCAATATTTCTGTATTTTTGTAAATCAGGTGATTTTATATTAATTTGCTAATCAATTAAATCTTTAAACTGTTAGAAGTATTTTTTTAAAAATCATATCTGTAAACATTTTTTTTTTTATTTATATATAATACTGTCTGATAATAATTATCAATGGTGCTCAATTTTTCTATCTTCCTATTCACCAAGTATATAAAATAGGTTTTGTTAAGAGCTTGTTTCTTATAATAAAGTATCTCGATAAAGAAGGTCGAACAAAACCTGTTCCATTGTTTGCTGAGATTTAATTATCTTTTATTATCTTAGTTCATAGAAACGGTATTTTATTATCTATTACTATTAAAATCATAAAATGGTTGATTAAACATTCATTTTAATTTAAGCACAAATGATATTAAAATGAATATAGATTAATTATATTTGGAAGGTTTATTTGGCCGTGAAATAAAAAAAAATAATATATTCATAATATTTTAATTTTCTGTTTGTTTCATTTATCTGACAACTTATCAAGACAAGTCAGTGCGAAATTTATAACTAAATAAAAAGGAAAATGGACGAAAACATTATGAAATACAGATTATTGACATAAACAATTTGTGACGTTAGTTTTGGGCTATCCATACATTACAGTCGTATAGATCATAATAAGTTTACTTGATAGAACAGTTTGTCACATATTAATATTACTATACTGACGTGTAACTTTATGTATAACCCATTGGTTGCCCGAGGCTTTAACCGTGTTATAAATTTATTATTATGTTTTTAGTAACAGTGTGCCAACCGGCACATATATACTACTAACAACACAGTTTGTTTGACCTCTACCGACGCATCCCTCAATAACTAAAACTATAACAGTCTATTTAAAATTATAATACATCGTAAGTAATAAGAATTAAGATAATTAAAGCATTTCCACCTTATTCAAAATAAAATCGTAATAGGTCTCAATTTTTCGCTATGTTTTATATCTTTTTCTTCATTACATACACTATTTACATAATATAGTTGTGTGCTAACGCAACGATAAATTAATAAAGAAATTTGCGTTTGCACTCTGATAATTTATTTCCATATTACTAATAGCAAAACTTGCCATGCAAAATCACACTCACGAAATAATAACTTAAAATAATAAAATTATATATGTAAATCAACTTAAAATTGATTTACTTCTTTGATATAAATGGAAGCATCGTTTTAAAACTAAGAATCTAGGACTGAATTTAATAAAAAAGATTTTTTTTTTTTAAATAGTTACGAATTACCGTAGGAAATGTGTTACACAAAACTGTACAATTCACAAATGTCTACACATATTTCAAGAGACCGAAAGAGATAGGATGTTTTCAGGTGTTCCATTAACTTGCCACTCAACATACCTATTTACAAACATTGAAAATTTACATTCATCTGACTAATAACTAGTAAAGCTTTTTACATAAAACGTTATAACAAAACAGTCCGTTGACTCAACGACAACGGTTCATTGCATTGCAATATTCAAGTCTTCATCGTAATGCCACGAAACGATTAAATTAAAGTAATTTTTTGATCGTATATAACGAGATCGTGCTTAGGACATCATCATGAGATGATCTTCACTGGAACTGATGTTGGAAGTCTCACCTTCCTCTTCAGCGCCTTTTGCATCGCCTACCGCCGCGGCAACTGCCACGATTCAAGGTATCTTCTTATATTTATCATAATTTACATTGTCTCTTAAAACTATGCACATCAATTAGCACGACGGCCTGTCTTGTTGATTCTGCTTTTCAGGTGTCTGTAACAAACAAGAACATATATGAGCATACGATTAACAATATCAGAAATACCTAAAGAAATGGGAGTGCCAATGAAGGGTTTGTTTGATACGGGAACAGAAGGTGAGCCCATGTAATCATTTATCGAGGGTGCAGCTACCAATCGTTGCACAGATGCGCGCGCACATGTTTCCCTACAGAATGATGATATGAGCTAATTGATAATATAACAATTTAACCAGTACATCCAATAAATTAATATACAAATGCCACATCGAATGCTATAATGACCGGTAAAGACATACCCTGCTGATTCTACAGTTATATTAAAAGTGATTGCTACGAATAGTGTATCGGGTGGCACATGCGCATCCCGCCCGCGTCCGGCCATCTGTCACCGCATATGTGCTGTGTTTCAACAATGTTTTAATTCATTAGTGCCCGGACAATGGGCCGCTTGTTTCACTACCCTAATTAAAGTGCAGGCGTGAACGTCACTTGAATTATTGTTTGATTAAATGGTCAGGAACAGACGAAGTGAATTTTCTTATTACATCGTTTACAGCAAGCACTTCAGTTGCAGTTTCAGTATGGCATTCTCAGTACCAGTAAGTGTTAGATTACCGTTTCCCGTCCGTACACATCCGCGACACAGCTGAACTGGCGCACGTGGCCACACCCTATTTACGGACATACCAAAGGGAGAGCACACATGTCCCGAACGGATCGGGACTTTGCGAGAGCGCACACGTGAAATCCCTTTATGAGAGGAGCATTGTCGACTGGATAATGAATAGGTATATGTGTACATCGCATTTATTTAGCTATCCGGCCACCGGCGCCGTCACGTGTGCTCACACGCAGCTGCGAGCGACCGTTACCCGCACAATGCCCTCGATCGATACGTTGCTGATGGAATCCAAGCTATCGGCGAAATCGATGCACGTGTGCTGAGGTTTGTCGTGGAGACATTTCGCGGTGTGGCGGATATGCGGCGCTGTATTGTCTTCTCGCCGCCGCCTGCTCTGTTTATTAGTTCGGAGAAGCGTAAAGGTGCTCGTAAAACTTTCACGTGCGCGATTTATGCTTGAGGGACTCTGAGACAAAGATATTCAGAGGAGCGGGCAAGCGTGGGCGCGAACACCTGGCGGCTCGTTAGTGTCGCCTGTCGGATGAGAACGTCGCCGCGCGCCGCGTAGGCGTCTGGTTGCACTATTATGGAAGGATCAATTTATTTATACTACATTGCCATCTCCTTTAGTTAGATTTACTTGTTAAATATATGTATATCATATTTTACTCATGACATATACTAAATACTGTATGTAGAAAATATATCCTCAAACTGCAGTACCGATTTCTATTTATTGATCATATACAACAAACACGACAGCATCTAAGGGTTCTTAATTGATTTCGAAAGGCAACATGCGGGCCTATAATTGGATGACTAAGTGATATTGTTATATAGGTTAAGATCGAAAATTCCGGAGTTTCTACTGGTCATAACACAAACAAAAAATCGTCCATCAATGAACAGGAAAGATATTAGAGATATGATTATTAAAGGGGTCGGGCCCTTTAAGCGATATGAAATAGGGGTAGCTACCACGAAGGATTACATGGTTAACCGTACTCATTATAGTAGTTCTTAACAGCTTATTATGTACGGAGCGCAAAGTCAAACAACGCGTGATTGTGTTTGTCTTGGCATTTATTCCTAAAGGTGAAATTGGGTACAGACCGATAAAATTCGTGACGAATATTGGTTGGGAATAATTCTTTGTATAGATAGAGCTGAGACTATGTCCACGACCTCGCTGACGCCCGCGGCGAGGCAGCTGCAGGCAACAATTATGGTCTCGATAGTGGCGTATGCTCGTGACCGGAGGTTTGTGGCACACGGCGTCGATGCCCCATGAGATACCGCCGTGAAATGCCGCCTCACGACGCGCACGCTCTACCTTAAATTCCACCACGATTGCCCTCAGCCATAACGTTCGGTATACTTTTCACTATATCTCTAAACGATTCTATAGATTGTAAACGAACTTTGAGAAATTCGATCTTTATGTCCTTGCAAGAATATTCCGCATTTGTATTCAAGAATGTGGTCCGATTAGTCCGCATTCCAATGGTTCCTATATTGTTGTGGGCGTTGTGTTAGTAAATATAGTTGGATATCGCGATATAGGTGGCGCCTGGGACTAATTACTATTAAATCAGTGGCTCCTTTCATATATTTGGTACCATATTGATGATTATTTATTGATTATTTTCTGTCAGATATCATGTCATAGATTCTATGGGAAATGGCATATTAAATGGCTTGTTAGATCTACATAAATGTGTATAAATTAGACATAAATTTGATTGCGTTAGTGACTTAACTCGCGGTTGGCGCCATCATCTCGCATTCTTTGATTTCTTGTTATATGAATTGCTTAAAATGGGTTTTTATGTTTTTAAAATTACTTAACATTAGGTATTGTGAGCAATGTTTCTATGTTTAGAGGCTGTTCATCTTATTTTACTATGATTCAAGATCTTTTAATATTCGTATATATGCAATAGCGAAAGCGTGCATTGGTTAAGATTAGTGATAAATTCATTACGAATGTACATATCGTTTATATAGCACTCGGTTGTTGTAAATTCAGCGCGGCACCTTATGTCTCCTAAATCACGCTTGTTTTGAACATTTCCCTCTGTTCCAACAACTGGCAGTGATTAAAATTTACGTGGCGCGACCAAGTATTAACGAGCGCGCATTGCGCCTGGGGCTCGTAATCGCAAGGCGTACGAATAAATCCTTCGAGATGCACCTGCCGCGTTCAGACATCGACAACACAATCTTGTCGCTGCATTTAGGTCTTTTGCCGTATCGCGTTTCTCTTTGGTCTGGGTGAAACTAGTCGGTTCTGTCACGTCAATGACGAAACGGCAATCACGCGCAGGTGTCAAGTGGAATGTTAAACGAGACAGCATAAATACATGTTGAATATTCAGATTGTATGTCAGTACACGGTCGTTTACGCGGCGCCGGCGCAGGTGGCCGCGCTTCAAGGCTGAAATTCAAAACAGTCGTCACGCATGCGTGAACAGCAGTTTGGTTTGCGCCGTATTTACATTTTCATTAGGAAAGTGCAATTTACTGACTAGTGATTCAGCAAGTTTCAATTACTACTGCTATAATATAATTGGACTCGACTGCTCGAGTGCGAATAAACATCTGTATTTCATTACCAATGAATTAATTTAATTGTGAAAAAAAGTTAGGCGGACTCAGTAATAACAAAAGCCAATTCTCTATTGTTATTATTTTCACACGAAAGCGACTGAATTAAAATAACAACAGGAGTTATGCATGCAATGTTTGTTTTGTACAAAAATTGCGTCAAATGCGATCGTCTTTAATTGCCAATCGAATGTTGGCGTTAGATAATTGGATAAACAATTGTTTACAAGCTATGCGTGCGACGCCACGTGTTGTGAAACTCAGCATCTCCGCTTTTACCTTCCCGCGCTTGCGAAACGTGCAGGTGTGCGCCGCAAAAACACCGCCACGACCGATTTCATTTATTTTTTATGCAATAGGTATCTCTAAAGCAATGAACACGAACTCGGATAGTGCGCTGTCGGCTAACGTAATATAATTGGCAACAATAGATGAAAAATATTTGGCCTCAACTGTAGCTGTTATCGGAATGTCTCGATTCTTTTAGGCTAAATGACAATAATTTTAATCAATTTAGGACCGGGGAGAATATTGGAAGCGTTTACAGAACTAATCTATAAGAAGAACTATATTATATGTATATAAAAGGGTGATTTATTTTTGGTAATGTACAGATACTATAGTTACACGAAAAACAGAAAAAAATGAATAACTAATTTTACAAGTAAACATTTTAAATTTATCTGAATAATAATTTTATTTACAAAATGCTTAATATTGATATCACATTATTAATAAAAAACAAATAGGATATTTTTAGTGGTACATTTATATGCAATTTATTACAGAAATAAAGTTTTTAGTTTAAAAATTCATATTCCAAAATGATTTATTCATATTAAAATTAGAAAAGTAATGCAGACATTATTGGATTTCGGTATGAACACTTTTAACGATATTTCTGTTGTTAAACTTAGTTGACTAAGTCAATATTTATTATTTACTTAATTTAATAGGAATTATTCTATTTCTATGACGAACTAGACTCACCGTTTGATTTCTGTGTTCTTGACTGGAGGATGATCTGCGAAGGATGGTGTTTGGTGTTGAACGAGGTCCAAGAGGACGTCGGTGAGGGCGCGGCTGAGGCGCCTCAGCGCACGGAGGCGCCGCAAGAGCTGCTTCTGCGTCAAACTGTCCAACAGCAGGATGGTTCTCTAAGGCGGACTGGAGGTCGCAAATATAATCGATGACATGCTGAATCACTTCCAATTTTGAGATTTTCCTATTCTTCGGCATGAAAGGCACCAAGTCCTGTAGTTTCGAGAGATACATTTGGATCTCAGCATTTTCTCCTTCCCTATGCCGTTGGATACGACCGCTGGCGATTGCGGGCACAGAGGCGCCAGTTGCACACACTGCCGTTATCGCTTTCATCGTGAGAGTCACTAACACGTACACTGGGATGGGTTTAGCGAGCGACACGTCAATAGCGTGCGGAGCGCGAGAGAGGAATGACGAGTCGTCGGTAGTGTCGTTGTATTTATGGTATATGGTGGGGCGCGGGGCGGCGCCGGGCGGTCCAATGGGCGCGCGGGGCGGGGGCGGGGGCGGCGAAGCCTGATTTTTCCCATGGCGGGCGGTGGGCGCCGCGTCTGCCGCGCTGGGCGGCCCTGAGTAAGGCCGTTGCGCTCGTGACATGCACTTTGTCCTGTCTGTACTGTTGTTTATTTCTGGTTCTGTGATATTTGACCAGTTTAATATTGTGATATAAGAGCTCCTAGTACTGTTAATTAAGATAGTTAATAACAATAATACTGTTAGTTAATTACTGATAAAATTATCAATAATTAGAGTATTTATTAAGTTTAATTAAACCCATTGCTCTTCATAGTTATTTTCGTTTTGCCATGCGATAGTTTTGATTAATAATATAGTATATTATTATCATTCATCATTGTCACCGATCATTGAGTTTATCGTGAATCAGAGCTTCACTATTTTAAATCTAGATTTAGAGCGACTTTCAAAGAGGTGATCGGATTGTTTGGTTGATAGGGATTTATTTTTTGACTCCAATTAAAATAAAAACACTAATACTCATACTCAGTATAATTTTGCTGATATAAAACATTTAGTATTAAAAAATGCAATCAAATGATAGAAAACTCTCTGGGGAAGAAAAATATTATTAAACTTAAAAATATAATAGTACCAGATAGCTAACAAACGCGTTTAGCAATTAACATAATATTTGCCTACCAGATGTAGATATAGATGTAGATATATTCTTAGAAAATACATATTTTACACTTAGTTAAATAAGCATGCGCACGTGTGTTACTTTTTTCAAAAAAATTATAAACGTAGCAACTTTACCTTATTGTTTTCACTTTCTACCAGATGCAGATAATGTTGTTAGAAAATATCTTTTTCCAACAATACTATCTACATCTGTTAGATATATAATATTCTTTTGTAACAAAATTATCTACATCTGTTGGAAGGTAAAAACAATAAAGTTAAATTGCTTTATTACAGTAAAGTTATTGATAAAAATATTTTTTTAAAAGAAGTAATACACGTGCGCATGCAGCACACGTGTGACTTAAAAAAAAATATGAAAAAGGGACAGAGAAGATTATTACCTATATAAGATTATTATATTCATTTCAAAATATTTTTTTTTATTTTATTATTTTACTTTCTAATTTTTTATTTTATATTGAATAAAATAAAATTTTAAGTTTTGCAACATTTTTGTACATACATATATATACATATATATACATAAATACATACTTACTCATAGTTTTGCGTTAACCCTACTACTTCCATATAATAAACGCAAAATTTTGTGAGAATGTTTGTAATTCTTTCACGTAAAAACTACTGAACGGATTTAAATGAAAATTGGTACACAGAGAGGTTGTACTTTAAAATTATTATTACGAAGCTGCGGGATAGATACTGCTAGTAAATAAATTATTATCAATTACTGAAAATAAATAGACATTTTAAAAGATAACTTTTATTTGGTGTATACCAATAATAAGTTGCAATGTAAATATAAATAATTGTAAACTGATATAAAATTGAAAAGGCAAAACAAAAATTATATGTGTGAATATATGGCGATCAAAATGGTCACCATTCAGTTAAGTGTCATCAAATTGAATTTCAGGAAATTCTGTTTTAGTGGATACCTGCTCATAATTATAAACATGAAATTTATATATAATATAAATTAATTGTAATAAATTTTATAATAAAAAAAATATTATAATTATTTACAAATACGCTGACCACTGTAGCCTCGTATTTATAAAAAAAGGATGCACGGTAGTGGGGTGAGGGGGAATGGTGATCGTGAACAATGGTTGTACGTGACGGCATCCGCTCGTGGCGGTCCCACGGCGACAGGTCTCGGAGGCTGCGTACGCGCACCTGAAAAAGTTTACCTTTTAGAGCAAAACAATTTTTTTTATGATATAGTATCTAATATCTCGATTAACGCTATCCACTTATGCGAATCCAGAACTATAATGTTAAATCCTTATTTATATGTGAACATCACACAATTTTCGATTACTGTCTCAAATTTTTTAGCATATTATCTATTTTCTTTAGAGTTCGGGTAAAATTAAAAATATTTATTATGTTTTTATATTAAAAAATTATACCTCGAATTATGCGGTTATTGCTTAGTATTATCTATCGCATAATTTCGGGATATTTCCGTACTTAGAACGGAAAATAAGCTGTCGGCCCACCTGAAAGAAAAGGTAACCGTTGTCTAGTAATATGATAAGCACTATGGACGTTATAGAATCCACAATAACCTCTGTTTTCACTGCTATAAATAAAAATAAAAAAACAAAAGAAAAAGTTCTATTTCTTGCAGCATAAACGTTTTCCAGTTAAAATATTTGTTTTATATATATTGAAGTAATTATCATATTCTAGTATATTCAAGTAATACTCATTAAATAATGATTTTTCACTGCCATATTGGATATGGCAGTGGACATAATAGATGGACATAATTTATTTTAACTAAATAGTATTTAAGATGCTGAAAGCTCTTAATAATCTGTTAATGTCTAATTGTTGAAGATGAGATTTCCTTATATGACGAGGATATTAGCATACGATTACCAAGTAAGTTAGAAATCTTAGTGTACGTTTTTATTTAGAATTAAATGATAACATGGAACAAAAATATTGATAGTTGATAGATATACTTTATTTTAATAAAAAAAATAGAACAGAAAAACCCTATATAATACATTAGTGATCCACCTAGCTTCGCGTAGGTAGATAGAATTTTCGAAAACAAAGGAGCCTTATGTTACTCTCTCATAATGTAACTTTCTATAGGTGATAGAATTTTTAAAAATAAATATTAAAACAAATCTTTCCTCTTTATAATATTATTTTATAATCTAAGTAATAATTTAATTGTTAGTTATTTTTAAACAACAGTTGTTGAGTATTTTTATTTTATATTATTATTTAAAAACAGTTGTATTTATTCAAACATATTTACATTGTTCAAAGTAGTCTTTCATTTAAATGTTAATACATAAAAATTGTGTATAAAATAACTAATTAATTAATTAAATAACTAATTAATTCATTAATTAAATAACTAAATAATAAATTAAACATTTCCACGAAATATAGATTAATAGCTTTTATCGGCGACTTCGTCTGCGTGACCGGTGTATGTTAAAGGGATAAAAAGTTCTATATTTTTCTTCCATCCCATATAACACATGTATACCGAATTAGATAGTGATTGGTTAAGTCGTTAAGGCGCTATAAAATGACAAACAAATTCACTTTCATATTTTTAATATTAATATTAATAGTAATCAGTACGTACATAGTAAGTACTATGTATATACCTACTTAATTGTACTGAACTTAGGTGCGCAATGTGTATAAAAACAAATAATAAAAGATTAGATAAATTGTGATAAGATGTTTTATTTAACTATGTTCCCGTTTATCGTATTATTTTTAATATAATTAATGTTATCTCGTTTGTTTATTGCTATTTTTTATAATGAACTGTTAGTAAAACAATTAGGTTAGCACATAATAGCATTTTGAAACTTTGTTTATATTTATTGAAAATTTCTAAACATTTTTTTGTCCTGTTTAATATATAACACAATAAAATTTTATTAACAATTATGTAAACATTAACATGATAGAGTGACTGTTTTTCTTAACTGTTATAAAAAATATCTAATCAACGACAGTGGCCAACTACATGGATGGCTAATATAGTTTATTAAGGTTAATAAAAATCTCTAAAATGGTCTAAATTGAGAGTAAAAAGGGAGAAATAATAGAAAAAATATTTATTTATTTATTTATGAATTTTGTTTTTTATTACATTGTTATTAATTTATTCACATTGGGAAATTTGGTCAGTGACAATATATACATATGTAGATAATATTAATATTTGCACACATTATATACATGGTTTTATCGGAAAAAAAATCGCCTTGTATTGTTTACGATTTTAAGATATCCGAAATAACGTCGTAAAGTAATAATAAAAAAAGTCGATATAAGCGTAGCTCATTATTATATTTTACTCAAATATCCTGTTTTTTTTTATTAATGAAATATTAATTTCTTGTAGAAGTTTATAATTTTACTTACTGTGGTATTTATTTTATTAGATTTCGATTTTGTATGGAATAAAAGTAAATAAAATATATCATACATTTTAAGCTTATAAGATTCAGCATTCGAAGGTCGTCATTCGTCTTAACATGGACTGTGACATGGAGATCGGAACAACGCCGTGGTTATATAAAAAATGAAAAAAAAAACAAGTGGGTAAAAAGTCTCGAGTCACCTTGGAAGTGGGAGTAAAGAACTCAGGTAGCGAATTGCTTCATTTTGAGTTATTTGGTTTGGCCATTTTAAACCAACGTGACTTGATAAATTGGACCGAATTATAATGACCGTTGATGAACAAGATAATGCTTTAATGTAATCGAACTTTTTTGGCAATTTAAATGGTAAAAGTCGATTCTTTCCTTGTAAGTGTAATTCAGTACCAATAATGAAAATAAAAATTGATTTCCTTTAGTTGATTTAACATTAAATTACGGTAAAATGCGTTAAAGTAATATGATTTCATTGCCAATTTAAATGGTAAATATAAATATTCTTCTTGTAGGTATAATTAAGCATCATTAATAAAAATCAAAATTAATTTGATGTATTTATTTTTTAATCTTGTATTAATGAAATCGAAATTAATAGCGACATTACAAGGGAGTGTTCTACCATTAAAAGAATATTTTGTTATTATATAAGTTATATCGAAATGTAAACAAACGAATAAAATTGTTCATATCATAACATAATCTGATCTGATGTCTAAAAGTAGTGTAAATAAATAATTTATTAATTGAATGTTTAGATTTTTTACTGTTTTATATTTATGTTTTTATGTTATGTGAATTTTAACAAAATTGGCAATATTTCTTTATA